AAGTGGGATTCTTATCAGGTATGCAAGGATGGTTCGACATCAGAAAAACAATCAATGTACTCCATCACACATATAAATCAAAAGAACTATGTGATCATATCAGTAGATGCAGAAAGGTATTTGATAAAATCTAACACCCATTCCTGTTCAAAACTGTTAGCAAAATAGGAATAGAAGGGAAAATCATCAACATAGTAAAGTGTATATATACAAAACATTATTGTCAATGGAGAAAGGCTCAAAGGACTCCCCTTGTGAACAGGAATCAGACCAGGATGCCCTCTATCAGTCACCACTTCTATTGAACATTGTATTGGAAGTCCTAGCCAGGGTATTATGGCAAGAAAGAGAAATAAAAGGCATCTAAATTGGCAAAGAAGAAGTAAAGTTATCTCCATTTGCAGATGACATAATCCTATACATAGAAATCCCATGAGACTCAGCAAGAAAACTGTTGTTGTGTTGTTATGTGCCGTCAAATCGGACCTGACTCATAGCGACCCCTCCTTGGGTTTCCAAGGCTGTATCACTACGGAAGTAGATTGCCCCATCTTCCTTCCGAGGAGTGACTGGTGGGTTTGAACTGCCAGCCTTCTGGTTAGCAGTCAAGTACCTTAGGCACTATGCTACCAGAGCTCCCAACAAGAAAACTACTAGAACTAATAGAAAGAGTCAGCAAAGTTGGCAGGATGAAAGCTCAACACAGGAAAATCATTTGGATTCCTCTACATCAGCAAAGAGACTTCTGAAAAGGAAATAATGAAAACAATTTGCAGTAGCACCAAAAAGATAAAATACTCAGGAATAAATCTTACCAGGTACACAAAAGACCTGTACAAAGAAAACTACAAAACACTACTATAAGAAACTAAAAGAGACCTACATAAATGAAAGAATATTCTATGTTCATGGAAAGGAAGACCAAATATTATGAAAATGTCAGTACTGCTACCAAAGTAATCGATACATTCCAATGCAATCCTGATCCGGATTCCATCAGCGTTCTTTGAGGACATAGAAAAACCAATCACTAGCTTCATATGGAAAGGAAAGAGACCTCAGATAAGCAAAGCATTGCTGAAGAAGGAGGAAAAAGTAGAAGGTCTCACAGTCCCCAATCTCAAAACCTACTGTACAGACACAGTAGTCAAAACATCATGGTATTGGTACAATAATAAGCAGATAGACCAATGGAACAGAATTGAGGACCCAGAAATAGACCCATCCATCTGTGGACAGCTGATCTTTGACAAAGGACCAAACCCCATTATATAGAGGAGAGATAGCCTGTTTAACAAATGGTGCTGGCAAAATTGAATATCTACTTGCAGAAAAATGAAACAAGGCCCATACCTCACCCCATAAACAAAAATGAGCTCAAGATGGATCAAAGACTTAAATGTAAAATCCAAAATCATAAAGTTCATCAGAGGTAAAACAGGGGCAAATCTAAGGGCCCTAATTTGTGGCATAAATAGACTATCAAGCATAACCCAAAATGCACAAGCTGCAGAAGAGAAAGTAGGTGACTGGGATGTTTTAAAAGTTAAATTCTTATGTGCATAAAAAGACTTCTCCAAAAGGGTAAAAACAGAACCTGCAGGTTGGGAAAAAATATTTTACTATGACATGTCTGAAAAGGGCCTTATCTCTAAAGTTTATTGAAAATTTCAGTACCTCCACACCAAAATGACAAACAATCCAATTCAAAAATGGGCAAAGGACATAACAGACACATCACAAAAGAAGATACACAGGTGGCCAACAAACACATGAGGAAATGCTCACGATCATTAGCCATTAAACAAAAAAACAAACTCATTGCCTTCGAGTCAATCCATCAAGTTGATCCCAACTCATAGTGACCCCTCCTTGGGGTTCCAAGGCAGTATCTCTACAGAATTAGATTCCCCAGTCTTCCGTCTGAGGAGTGGCTGGTGTGTTTGAACCGCCAGCCTTCTGGTTAGCTGTCAAATGCCTTAGGCACTACACCACCAGAGCCATTGTTGTTGTTGTTATGTGCCATCGAGTTTGACCCAACTCATAGCAACCCTTCCTTGGGTTTCCGAGGCCGTATCACTACAGAAGTAGATTGCCCCATCTTCCTTCCGAGGAGTGGCTGGTGGGTTTGAATGGGCAGCCTTCTGGTTAACAGTTAAGTGCCTTAGCCACTATGCTACCAGAGCTCCTACCAGGGCCATTAGAGAGATGCAAATCAAAACAACAATAAGGTATCATTTTACCTCAGCAACAGTAGCAAAGTTAAACAAGACAGAAAATAACAAATACTGTTGAGGGTGTAGAGAGATCAGAACTCTCTTACACCACTAGTGGGACTATAAAGTGGTATAGCCACTATGGAAAAACAGTATGGCATTTCCTTAAAAAATTGAAAATAGAAATACCATTTGATCCAGCAATTCCATTACCAGGAATGTATCCTAAAGAGGTGAGATCCAGAACACGAATAGATATATGCACACCCATATTCATCACAGCATAATTCACTGTAGCAGAGATAGAAGCAACCTAAGTGTCCATCATCAGATGAATGGGAAACCAAACTATGTTACATTCACACAATGGAATACTATGCAACAGTAAAGAATAATGAAGAATCCATGAATCACCTCATAACGTGGGTGAACTTGGAAGACATTATGCTGAGTGAAATAAGTAAGGACAGAGGGACAAATATCATATGAGTCCATTACTATAAAAAGGAAAGATTTACACAGGGAAGGAACTTTACTTTGGTTGGTTACCAGGTATGGGAGGGAAGAGGAGGGAAATTTTCTACTAGTTAAGAATCACATGTTGATTTGGGTAAAGAGAAAGGCAATATAACAAAAGCATGTGACCGGCACAATGACAGTAGGGAAAAGGAGGACACAAATATGCACAAAAGATGGATAACAGAGGCAAATAATAAATATTACATGCACAATACTGCAGTATCAGTGGCAGCAAACATTAGACTTAGAGTAAATGCATAGATAGGTGAGAAGATCAGGTGAGGGAAGGCGAACAGAAGTATCCCAAGACCAAGGATAGATTTGGCTGAAGATAATCTTACATGTGTACTTGTGCTACAACATTATCCACATACATTACAGAAGTAACGGAAGACAAGTTGAAGTAGCTTTTCAGAGTCAACCAAAGGTAAAACAGGGGCAAATCTAAGGGCCCTAATTTGTGGAGAGAGTCACTGGGCCCTTAGGTTTGGGACCATAGTCTTGGGGGACATAATGCTCAGGTGGCACAAGATAGTACATAAAAATCTTGCTCTGCATCCTGCTTTGGTGAATAGCTACTGGTGTCTTAACAGCGTTCGAGCAGCCATCTAAGATGCAAGTATCAGTATCCTCTCTGGAGCAAAGAAGAGTGAAGAAAATTAAACTCATTTGGAAGCAATCACTCCAAAGATTTTGATAGACCACAGGACCTCAGCCTTCTCAACCCTGAGACCAGAAGACTAGATCATGCCCAGCTACCAATGCCAGCCACTCAAAAGGGATCAAAATTGTAGAGCCTGGATAGAGTGAAAGGGAAAATGTGGGACAAAATTCAAAACCACAAAAATGACTGGAATTACTGGTCAGATAAAGACTGGTGGAACTCTCAAGACTATGGCCCCAGATTATCATTTGGGCCTGGAAATGGACTCACTTCCATGAGTTAGCTCTCAGCCTAAGAGTAAGTAGATCACCCAGCCTTAGATCAATCAGCCATGCAACATCAGAAGGGCAGCATTCATATAGAGGGAAAGCTGGGCAGACAGGAAAGCATAGCTAGGAAGGGCACAGGGGGAGGGGTAGTCATGGGGAGGAGAGCTTTACATGGTTGGGAATTGTAATCAGGGTCATGAAAAACAAATGTTGCGTGAACTGTTGAGAGTTAAAATGAATCTGCTTTGTAATTTTGCACCCAAATCACAGTGAAAAAAAATTTTTTTAATTTATCTTCTAAAATATATACTTCCTTGGTTTGTAATATGTTTACAAGTTTGTGCAGCCATTCACCATCCCTGAAAAAAATCCATACCCATTAGCAGTTACTCCCCACTCTCCCTTCCCTCCAGCCCTGGCCATAACTAATCTTTCTCTATAAAATAAATTGTTGTTGTTGTTGTTGTGTGCCGTCAAGTCGGCCCCGACTCATAGCGACCCCTCCTTGGGTTTCCGAGGCAGTATCACTACGGAAGTAGGATTGCCCAACCTTCCTTAAATAGAATCATAAAATATGTGACCTTTTGTATCTGGCTTTTTTCACTTCAAGTTATAACTGAACATTATTCTACTGTATGGATATACCACATTTTGTTTATCTATTCACTTTTTGGCTGTTATGACTAAAGCTGTTTTGGATATTCATGTACAAGTTTTTGTGTGAACATATGTTTTAAATTCTCTTGGAAGAAATTGCTGGGTCCTATGATAACTATGTTTAATCTTTTGAGAAACTGCTGAACTGCTTTACAAAGAGGCTGTACCATTTTACATTGCCATTCTTACTAGCCTTTTTTAAATTTTAATTATAGTTTGAGTGAAAGTTTACAGAACAAATTAGTTTCCCATTCAGCAGTTTGTACACATTTTGTTTTTTGTGATATTGATTGCAATCCCCTCAGTGCAACAGCACTCTTCCCACTTCTTCCCTGTTTGTATTCATCAGTTTCTCTTGTCCCTCCCTGTCTTCTGAGCTTTTTTTGGGCAAATGCTGTCCTTTTTCTCATGCTTTTGAGGAGTAGGTTCCTTGCAGGTGTTATTGTTCAGTTTATTGGTCATACTAGCCTTCTAAATTATATTTCTCTATCTGTGAAAACAAAGGGTACACTCAGGATTTTGCTTGGAGAAGAGTATTATACCAAAATATATTACAGGATAGAGTAGAACTGTCCCAAAGGGTTTCCAAGTTGATTAGTAAAATTTCCTAAGTTAGTGAGAATATTTACTTACTTTTGTTATGCTGATTTCGTGTTTCTGTTTTATTTCTTATAGAGAAGCTTGCAGAAGCTCAGCGCAGGTTTGCTACACTTCAGAATGAGCTTCAGTCATCACTGGATGTGCAGAAAGAAACCACAGGTGTTACCACACTACGACAACGCAGAAAGCCAGTCTTCCACCTGTCCCATGAGGAACGTGTCCAACACAGGAACATTAAAGACCTTAAACTGGCCTTCAGTGAGTTCTACCTCAGTCTTATCCTGCTGCAGAACTATCAGGTACATAAATTCTTATCCTCAAGAATGGAATGTTTAAATACCTGAGAAATTTCCTATAAATCAAATTATCTTGAGCTATACTAATGACCCAACCTGATAAGGAAAATCCTTAGCATGTTATTTTTCTTGGGGTTCTTATTCAGAATTCATATATTCTTACTGGCTAAAAGCCATTATCAGAGGCAGTAAAACATTGATGAATTTGAAATATGACCCAATTATTTTCCACTTTGAATTTTTTGTTGATACCATGTTTTCCATTGCTGCCCTTTTCCTTAATGGAAAGTGTGCTGCAAGGAACATTTCTGAAATTTGGTTAAGAACTATGAGTATTTTATATGTGTTAGGTGGAGCACAGATGTCCCTCTGGACTCAGGAAGATAGGATTATTGGGACGCAAATCCCTCTGGACTCTGCATCACTTTCTAGACCCCTTGACACATGCATACAATTTAGGGTTCTTAAAAATGTAATTTAGGCAACTTCCACATGAAGCATCAAACCACACCAGCTGCCATCAAGTTGATTCCAACTCACATCAACCCTATAGAACAGAGTAGAACTGCCCCATAGGGTTTCTAAGGCCATAAATCTTTACTGAAGTAGACTGCCTTATCTTTCTCCTGTGGAAGGGCTTGTGGGTTTGAACTGCTGACTTTTTGGTTAGCAGCCAAATGGTTTAACCACTACACCACAAGAGCTCCTTAAGTACAAGAACCCAGAAATACAAGGCTTATCTCCCAGTAAAAAAGCCAAAAGAGAAAAGTTTCGCAAAATCATCCTGTAAAAACAGTAATTTGTGGCACATGCACATTTCTTCCATTACAAAACATTAAACAAGGCCCCTCCTGACAGCTGCATGCACTGTCAGTGGGAAAGCAGTTGCTCAGTAAACCCCAGTGGAAGAAAATTTAGGTGAGTGCTATATGTCCTGTGGGTCATAAAAGGGTTAACAAAACATCCGTTTTTGAAGATAAGTTTTCTGAAAACTTATCTTTGTACTATATTCAGGAGTAGACCTTGACTTAAGAACTAATAGTTGTCTTCCTGTTTTTAGAGACAACTCTGATAGTGGTGAATAGAAATAACAAATGACTACTCAAGTGTTGTGTACAAGACATTTTATATATCTCTTAACCAATAGCAAAATTTCCACAAAAACAATTGGACAATTAACTTTCCTGCAGCTAACGTTAAGTAATAATACAAAAGGTCCTGACTTTTCAACTTACCATTCAAAGAATTCTTCCCATTTTATTATCCATAGGCTACAATATAACCGTATTTTTAAAAAAAAAAAGTCATTGAGAAAAAAGCTCAATGAGATCATAGCAAATAAGTGTAGAGACTGAAAATCTAGACTATTATGAAATATTACTCGATATTTTAAAACCCAATCTGAAAAATTGAACTTCCTTGTAAACTAAATTAATATAGGACTTTTATTCATTTGTAAAGGAGTCTGGGTAGTGTAAGTGGTTTGTCATTGATTACTAACCCAAAGATTGGCAGTTTGAACACACCTGGCAGATCTGCAGAAGAAAAGCCCTGGCAATCTGTTTCTGTAAAGATTACAGTTAAGAAAACCCTACAGATTAGCTCTGCTCTGTAACACATGGGATTGCCGTGAGTCAGGGGCCAACTCGACTGCAGCTAATGACAGCATGCATTTGTGATTCTTTTCAAATTTGTTTACATAGTTAATTCTATAAAGAATTTAGTTGAAAAACATTATTGTTTAATAATAAACATTTAAATTGGCAAGTATGTTTTCCTGATCTTTAGAGAGACCTTACTTTAGAGAGACATTACTGTTTTCCATTTTATTCTTGTTGTTTATCATCAGTGGTTAAGATAATCCCATATAAAAATGAAAGGTTACAAAACAAAGGTATTACTACGGGTAAATATTGAAATTTTAAAATAATAATTTTATCTGCATTAATATAAATTTTTAATGCATATGCTCTATTTATTTTTATCTTTTCCTTTCATAATTCTACTTTCTTCTTTGGTGATTTAATATTTTATCATTCGAAGAAGAACCCAGTTGGAAAATAATTTTCGAAGAGTAGAAAGTATTTATGTAAGATAATTTTACATATAATGTAAATTCCTTTGCTTTGAAATTTATCTGTAGCTTTATAATTTAATTTTTTTAAAAAGTAAATAAAGATTTGTTTCCTCTTTCTTATAATGCTATAAAAATATTTGTGTTTGCATCTCATTGAGATTATGCTTGTGTGTTACAGGGAAATACCCTTCTTACATTTTAATTTTATTTAACTTTATTAGCAGCTTTTACATGGAGTTATTATAAAAAGCTCCTTAGGAAAATAAAAGTAATTGTTAATTTAGAAAATTCTCCTCTACCTTCTTTTTTTGGAGCTGTCTATTCTGTAAGAATACATTTATTTTGACAATTAAGAAGAAAGCAAAATTCGTTACAAGCAGTCTCCCAGTCATGATGTATGTACCTCGAGGAGAGTTTAAGATGATCTATTAAACTGTGAGATAAAATTATAAACAAGCAAGAAAGCCTGTGTTTGAATGTGTACTCAGTATGTAGAGATATGTGATCAACAATTCTGGTTCTACAGAATCTTGCAAATCTAAACTTGCCTGCTTCTTTGCATGTTGGGCAAAGAACAACAGAATTTGAGAATGTAGGAAAGTATAGCATTTTAATTCTGTGGAAAATTGAGGAAAGGTGATGGCCCCTATCCATTATCATTAGATCCATGTAAGGAGTATCACTTCCTTTCTACTGCTCTTCTCACTGCCATCTCCAAACTGAGAATGAAGGGAAGCAAAACAGAACTAGAGATCTGTGTCTCGTGCTGCTGTATACATGCTATATCAGTCTTTCCAAAAGTGTAAGTGTGTATACTGCATGATAAATCCAAAATATTTTCTGAAAATATTCTTTTGACCTGAGCAGCAAAGTAATATAAATTAGCTATTTTGAGAACATTTATACTAGAAAAATGGAAACTAAAAGTTAGAGTTTAAGACTTTAAGTAATTCGAGTTCATATCAAGGTTTCTTTGTATTACTGATAGTTAGCATACTACTTAAATAAGTGAAATAAGAAAGAACTGTGTCATTTTAGTGGTGAGTGCTTTTATAATGAAAGAATTGTCATTTCCCCAATTTTAGTCCACTCAGTTCTGTCAATGTATAGTGCTTGTTATATGTCATCTTGTTTTGATAATGGTAGAAATTATAATAGTGATTCTCATTTCTTTCTGTAGAATCTGAATTTTACAGGGTTTCGAAAAATTCTTAAAAAGCATGACAAGATACTAGAAACATCTCGTGGAGCAGATTGGCGAGTTGCTCATGTAGAGGTGGCCCCATTTTATACATGCAAGAAAATCAACCAGCTCATCTCTGAAACTGAGGTACAGAAATACCATTTATATACCACGTATCTTTAATAACATCCGTGTTTAATTTTAATGAAATAATTCCTTGTTTCTATTTTATTTTTGTAATTAGTTAGCTGCTAGCTTTGAATACACTCATAATTTTTTTTCTTTGCTTTACCATTAATTTTACCACAAGGTTACAGAATACTGTATATATAAATGGTATAGTTATTTATGCATCACCCAAATTTAGCATAGCCTATGTCAAAATTTCATAACTTGCCTTTCTAGGCTGTAGTGACCAATGAACTTGAAGATGGTGACAGACAAAAGGCAATGAAACGGTTGCGTGTCCCCCCTTTGGGAGCTGCTCAGGTTAGTATTTGCTTTCAGTTGTTTGTTTATTAGGTCGGTTGGTTGGTTTTGCCTGTTTAATAATCAGTGTAATCTATGTAGCTGATAAAAACACTGGTTTCGTTACTTTAAAAAATAGTTTTCAGCCAAATTTTATAAATAGTTGTTAAAACTGTTATTTTTGTTTTTTAAAAAACTAGATTCCAGATCTGATCTCACATTGTATTTTCTATTCTTACTCTATACCCTCTATACCCTCTTTTCTTTATTCTTATTGACGTGCTAACTTCTTGATCTCACCAAGTAATTAAAGGGAGATACTGATTTGCTTGCTATGGGGATTTGAATATGCTGGGCTACTACATGGCTTCATTCAAAATCCAGTAGTTAAACCAAAAAAAAAAAAAAATTATTAAATGATATCTACACAGAAGTTGTACCCAAAGAGACATTTATTAAGTGACACATTCTGTGCCATTAAACAAAGCTCAGTTCATTTAAAAGAATTTAAACCATACAGTGTTGCCTCTTAACACAGTGTAATGGAATTAATAACAGAAAGTTTCCTTTTTCTAACAAAAGGCATCTAATGAAAGCCTATATAATAGCACATTTAATGATGAAATACTGAGGAGCAAAAATGCATGTTCAGTCTCACCACATCTATTTGACATTGTATTAGAGAGGCATCCAGATTGAAGGGAAGAAGTAAAACTGATTTGCTTTTGTTTTGTTTTATTCTGTTTTTGTCAGTGACATGGTGATTGATGTAGAAAATCCAATGCAGTCTTAACTACTAGAACTAATAAGTGAGTTTAAGTAAGTTTGCAGAATATAAGATTAGTATACAAAAATCAGTTTCTCTGCAACACATGGGATTGCCATTGTCAGAATACACCTACTCCTCATTTATCTACCATCTCATTATCTGACAATTTTCATTTACAACAACTTTGAAAAAATTCCCAGGTGGCACCTCTGATGGTCCAGGCCCCTTGCACACCTGGGCCCAGGATCCCTTCTATAGGCTTCTATAGGCTACACCAAACGATATATACCAGTTGACCTGGCAAAGACCAGGTCACACAAGGAATGACAGCCTTCTCCCATTCATTCATGATGTCTCATTCTGGCCACGGAGAGCATGGGGTGATGACAGGATGATACAAAACTGGAAGTGTGCAGAAGGAGGCCAGACAAGGCCCTAAAGGTGCTCCCAGGAGGTTGATGAGGAGAAGCGTTAATGGAGGGAGAAGGAAGGGGACTGCATGGAGCTTCAGGGATAGAGAAGACAGAAGGCAAATAGCATCCCTGCTCAGGACAGGAAGCAATGGGCAGAGGGACAAGTGAGGTCTGTGAGCAGCAGGCAACACTCAACCACCCCCACCCCCTCCTCAGCCCCCACGGGTTCTGTGTTAGTAGGGAAGATGTAGCAGAGAAGAGGAGCTCACCATGCTACATCCATCCCAAAATGCACCAGGGACATTCAGCAGGCAGTGAGCAACTGGGTGAAGATGGAGTGCAACCTCTGACTCTTAAATAATGCTGATTTCAATACCCTGGTCTTTGGCACCTAACCATGTTGGTAAGTGTAGATACTTGATAACAGTTGGAGAAAAAAAAATTCTATATGCTAGCAAGAACATTTAGAAATTAGCGTAGTACCTAAGGCACTTGATTGCTCACCAGAAGGCTGGTGGTTCAAACCCACCAGCCACTCCTCAGAAGGAAGGTTGGGCAATCTACTTCCATAGTGATACCACCTCGGAAACCCAAGGCGGGGCTGCTATGAGTCGGGTCCAACTTGACGGCCCATAATAATAACAATGCTATTTTGATACTATTAAAATATGAAATTCTCAAGAATAAATCTGACAGAGGACCTGTATGCTGAAAAATACAAAAGTTGCTGAGAGAAAGAAGACTTAAATAAATAAATGAGATAAACTGTTCCCAGATTAGAAGACTTGATATTTTTAAAATGTCATTTCTTCCTAAATTGATCTATAGGTGCAATGTAGTCCAACTCAGAATCTTAGCAGGCTTTTTTAAAAATAAAAATAGGTAAGCTAATTTGAAAATTCATATGGAAATACAAAGAACCTAGAATAACCAAAACAACCTTTGAAGAACTGAGTTGTAAGATTAACACTACCTGGTTATTGTTACCACTACTATGATATTAAAGACAGTGTGGTATTAGTGTCAAGATAGGTAAATAGATCAATGGAACAGAATAAATCTATTACTGTTAAGTTGATTGCAATCATAGTGACCCTATAGGACAAAGTAGAACTCCATAGGGTTTCCAAGGCTATAATTGACCCACACATATATGGACAACTAGTTTTCAATAGGGAGCTCTGGTAGCATAGTGGCTAAGGCACTTGACTGCTAACCAGAAGACTGGCAGTTCAAACCCACCAGCCACTCCTCGGAAGGAAGATGGGGCAATCTACTTCCGTAGTGATAGTGCCTCGGAAACCCAAGGAGGGGTCACTATGAGTCGGGTCCGACTTGATGTCACATAACAACAACAACAACAAAGTTTTCAATAAATATGCAAAGGCCACTAAGTAGAAAAAGCATAGTCTTTTCAGCAAATGGTGCTGGAACAATTGGATATTCATATGCAAAAAATTTTTTTTAAAGGTGAACTATCCGTTCTTCACACCGTATGCAAATATTTGTTCTAAATCTACTGTAGACCTAAGTATAAAACCTAAAGCTACAGATTTCAGTAAGAAAATACAGGCAAAAAATCCTAGTGATTTGGTTATGTAAAGATTTCCTAGAAGCCACACCAAAAAACTTCATCAAAATTAAAAAATTTTGTTCTTCAAAAGATAGTGTTAAGAGGAGAAAAACAACACACTGGGAGAAAATACTTACAAAAGATATCGAACAAAAGATCTTATATCCAGAATACATAAAGAACTTCAGTACTCAAATAAGGAAACAACTCACTTTAGAAATGGACAAAAGATATGAACCGACTCCTCCTCAAGAAGATATATTAAAAAGAAATGAAGTCCTGATACATGCTACAACATGGATACACCTTGAAAACATTATACTGAGTGAATTAAGCCAGTCACAAAAGGACAAATATTGAATAACCCCATTTATATGAAATATCTAGAATAGGCAAGTATACAGAGACCAAAGTTTATTAGTGGTAAATAGGGGCAGGCAGAGGAAAGGGGAAAAGAAGACTCAGTGCTTAGAGAACACTGAGCTTCTGTTAAGGGTGACAGAAAACTTGGTAACAGATAAGGGTGAAGGTTGAACAAACCTGATGAACATAGTTAGTGTCAATGAGCTGTATATGTGAAGAATGTTGAAATGGCAAATGTTTTGCTATATATATTTACCACAATTAAAAGAAGATGAAGAAATGTGAACGGTAAATGAGCATGTATAAAGATCCTCAGTATCATTAGTCAGTAGGGAAGTGCAAATTAAAGCTGCAGTGAGCTAACACGTACCTATTAGATTGACTGAAACGTAAAAGATTGGCTACACTAAATGTTGGAGAAATAGGAACTCACATACCTCATATACTGCTGGTAGAATATAAAATGGTACAACTGTGTAGAAACAGTTAATTAAACATAGACCTACCTTACCATCTATATAGCTATTTATACAAGGCAAATGAAAGCATATGTCTATATAATAGCTTGTATAAGAATGTTTATAGTAGTTTTATTCATAATAGCTTAAAGCTAGAAATAACCCAAATGTCCATTAATAGAGAAATGTAAAAGCAATTTGTGGTATATCCATACAATGGGGTATACTCAGTAATCAAAAGGAATAAACTATTGGTATATTCAACAGTCATGGTGACCTCATATATTTCAGAGTAAAACTGCTGTACATAGTGTTTTCATGACTGTGCCCTTTCTGAGCATATCACCAGGTCTTTTCTATTAAGCAGATGGCCCCACACTACAGCCTTCTGGTTAGTAGCCCAGCACTTAGCCATTTGTGCCACCAACACATGGGATCACCATAAGTCTCAATCAGCATGACAGCATCTGGTTTACTCCTTACATACAATATGAGTGAATCTTAAAATAATTATGCTGAGGGAAAGACAACAGAAAAAAAAAAAAAAAGACTTACTAACTGTATAATCTCATTTACATAAAACTTTAGAAAAAGGCAAACGGATATATAAGGACAGAAAGCAGGTAATCTGTTGCCTGATAGTGGAGTAGGGTGAGGTAGAGGGAGGGATTATTAAAAGTCATGAGGAAACTCTGGAGTGGTAGATATGTCCTCTCTGGTCATGGATTCTCTGTTAGATGCCATCGAGTCAATTTTCTACTCATATTGACCCCATGTGAAACAGTGAACTGCCTCATAGGGTTTTTAGGCTGTAATCTTTATGGGACCGTATCACGAAATCATTCTCCCACAGAGTTGCTAGGTGGGTTCAAACTGCCAACCTTTCGGTTCGCAGTTGAGCACTTAATCTTTGTGCCACCAGGGCTCCTTTCACAGGTGTTAACATGAAGGAAAACTTACCAAATTGTATACTTTAAATATGTACAGTTATTATGTCAGTTATATTTTCGTAAAGCTGCTATAATAAGAAAATTGACTTTTTAAATTAAGAATGCAAAGCTAAAGGAAACATGAAAACGATTATCTCTGGTGAAGAAGGAAAGTTATTGTATCAGGGAGGGATAGGGACTTCACATGTAATGATAAAGTTCTGTTTCCAAAGATGGGTGACAGGTATAGATTGTTCACTTTATTCTTCATTTTCTAACAGCCCCAATACGTATTTTGAATATATAATAACTTGCACAATTTTAAAACTTAAAGATAAATTTTAAACAGACAAATGATCATCTTCCTTCTGGATACTTCCAGTCTAAAACTGTAAATACAGATGTCTGTTACTGATAAATAATAAGTTACATAGAGGCAATCTCAATGCTTTTTATAGTTTGAAGGTTTTTAGAAACATTTTAAATGTGTTAAATGTAATATCCCTTCTAACAACAGATTTCTTTTTTAATTTATTTTAGAAAACAGTAGCTCTGGTAGCTTAGTGCCTAAGGCACTTGACTGCTAACCAGAATGCTGGTGGTTCAAACCCATCAACCGCTCTTCGGAAGGAAGATGGGGCAATCTACTTCCATAGTGATACTGCCTCGGAAACCCAAGGAGGGGTCTCTGTGAGTCGGGTCCGACTCGACAGCACATAACAACAACAACAACAACAAATATCTAATTAAATGATAATAGAGAAAAATATTTAAGTCATTTTATCCTACTTGGAGATTCTTGAGAATCTCTAGTAGATCTTGAAAAATTCGTTTTAAATTACCTTAGTATAATAAATAGCATGACTACTATCAGAAAATGACAATTTTTATTGTTACCATTGTCTCTAATCATTATTCATAGTACCAAATATGTAAATTCTAATTGTATTCATTACAAAATTTAGAGATGTATATAAATCCATAAAAATAAATTTGAATCCTATAAAAAATACAATTGTGCTTTTAATCTCTCCTATAAGAAAAACTCAATGCTCAATGTGTGTGTATGTATATACACACACATATATATGGCTGTGGATATGCCTAAGCTTATAATCTGTTTGCTTATTGACTCATTAGACTTCTATAAAAGAATTTTAATAACTAGCAATTTCTATTCTAATATTATAGGATGTTGGTGATTCTGTCATTCAGATTTATAAAATTCAGATCATAAAGTATTGTTATTTTCATAATAGACCTTTGGTTGATGCTCATACTATTTATTTAGTACAGCTTATACTAAATGCAATCAATATTTTGCCTTTTACCTCAAATACTGTTTTTCTGTCCACAGCCTGCACCAGCATGGACTACTTTTAGAGTTGGCCTATTTTGTGGAATATTCATTGTATTGAACGTTACCCTTGTGCTTGCTGGTAAGTAGTTTTAATTTTGAATTAATTTATTCTTTGTTTAACATGGCTGTATCATATTTTGTCCCGTGAAAGGAACCAACCGTAAAACTACTGAATCTATTGACAAAGACATCTGTCAAGGCTGAGTTTTTGTTCTTAGATTAAGTTAGTTTTTTGTTTTGTTTTTTTCCTTTGGGTATAGCTATCCCTTAAAATATTTCTAGTTTATGGCTTTTTATTTGCCATCATTTTCCATTCTTTATATACAAACTGTTCAGACTTTTTGAGAGTTCAGTTATCAGAAACCTCAACTTCCCTAATCACAGATTAAATAAGATGTTATAAAATTTTTGCACTAAAGCTCATGTACTTCATTTATTGGAGATTTTCGCCTTTCCAGAAGCTTGGTTATATGATTTTCTGTTTTATAGAAGTTAAAAATTAGAGAGAGGAAGTAAGGATTATTAGAAACAGGTACTCCTCCAACATCATGAAAGAATATAATAGCAAAGGAGTCATCATCTTACTAAACTTCCCATCAGAATTTGACATAGCCCTCCGCAGCATTTGACCTTGTTGATCACTGCTTGAAACACTTTCTTCAGTTGCTTTTGCCGTGAGAACCACACTTTTATGGGTTTCCTGTTAAACTTCACTAGGTTTTTGCTAGCTTCTCTTTCCTTTGTGATGTCTAAATGTTGGAGAGTACCACCATGCTCAGTCCTCAGCTCTTTTTTTTCTATCTGTATTCATTTCCTACCTAGGCAATCTTATTCAAGTCTATGGGTATAAATACTGTCTATATGTTTTTTTGTTGTTGTAAGTTGCCATCAGTAATGACTCCAGATCTGTATCATATATATCATCTCTCCCTGAATGATAACTAATTTCATGTCTAGTAGGCATCTTAAGCTTCCATGGACAAAAGAATCTGATTTTCACCTCTAAATATGTTCTCTCTTCCATATGGTGTCACTTTTTAGCTAGTTCTCAGGCCAAAAACCTTTAGCCTTTCTTTTCCCTCACACTCCATGTCTATCCGTAAGTCCTATTGCTGTACCTTCTAAATATATGCCAAGTGTGGCTGCTTTTCACCACCTCCATCAGTGCCATCCTAGTCTAAGCATCTACTTGTTTTAATATACTGGAGCCTTCTATACTTTTCTCCTTCTATCCACTCTTGCCTCCTAATAGCTTATAGTCACTAGTATCTTTTGTTTTTAATGTAAGTTTTACCATTTCACTGTCGTACTTAAAATCCATTCATGGATTGTCTTCAGACACCTTACCATGACCCAGTAGTACATACAGGATCTGATTCCTTTCAGCCTCTTTGACTTTATATCTTATCACACTCCCTCACATTAGTTTTCACTGTTTCCAACTATACTTTGAAGTGACTGTTCCGTGAATATACCAAACGCATTCCCAGCTCAGAGTCTGCAGTTGCCTACAAGGGTCTTCCCAGGATGTCTACATGGCTTACGCTCTCACTTCACATAAGTGTCTCTTCAGATAGCACCTCCTGAGCCAGGCCTTTCCTGATCACCCTACTTTAAAATATCCTGTTCTATCCTTTTAGTCTATAGTAGTTTTCTTCTGAACACTTGTAATTGTGTGACATTATATTACATATTTATTTGTTATCCATTTTCCCACTGGACTGCAGGCTTCTTGATACGTGGGCTTTTGTCTCTCCTGTTTACCACTATATCCCCAGCACCTAGGGCCTACGACATATAGAGGCTCAAAAGATATTGCTGAAAGTTTGGATAACTTAAATGATATAAAAGAAGTAAATAATATACAAAACACACACATAGAAAGAGACAAATACAAATCTTAAAAAGTTCATGCAGTCAAGGACTTTAAGGGCAAATAATCCTGATACACCTTAAGAATCTTTGTATTATTTAAAAGGACAATAATTATGATGATAGATGTATCACTAGAAAAGATTAAATTCTGCTCAATGAAATCTACAGTAGTACATGATTTAGAAATATATGTTATTATATAAATATCCATTATATTCTGTTTTGAATTTTTTGTCATCATGATAATGCCTGAACAAAGAAAGTTTATTATTATTAGTGTTTTTCAATTGCAGGGACTATGTCTTTTTCATTTTTTATTTCAAGTTCTTAACACACTGTCAGCACATAGCAGATGTTCAAGAAATAATTTATTTAATTTATTATTCCTCATAAACATTCTTTTAATTGAAATTGTCAGTTGTACATTATGAAATTGTAACCCAAGTTCTAATGGCCTTAAAGAACATATTTACCTATTAAAAATGTTTTTTTATTTTCTATTTTTAGATTTATCCTTCCCACTGATTACTAAAAATAAATTATAAAAAAATTATTGTCTACTGTAAGTTCATGATTTTATATTGATTATATTATTTTTTATGTTATAGATGATAATATAAATTTATGATTATATTTAAAGGAGCTCTGGTGGCACTGTGGTTTGGCACTTGGCTGTCACCTAAAAGTTCGACAGTTCAAACCCACTTGCTGCTATGAGGAAAAAGATGTGGCAGTCTGATTTTGTAAAGATTGCAGCCTAGGAAACCCTGTGGGGCAGTTCTACCCTGTCTCATAGAGTCACTATGAGTAGGATTCAAATCAATGGCAATAGGTGTCCTATATTATATTTTATTTTGGTTCTATTTTTTAGGCTGAATACAATCTTATATACAATATATTGAAATACTATAATAAAAAAAAAAAAACCTAGAGCTAGGATTATCAAGCTGGCTATTGTGGAAAGAACACTGGCTTAGATTCCAAAGGCCTATGTGGATTTTAGTACTAACTTCACTGTTTGTTTGTTCTTGTGGTTTTAAGAACACCACTATGATCTTTGAAATAGTTTCCTTTACTTTTTTTTCTTTTTTAATCTGATTTGGGTGAAAATTTACAGAGTAAATTCACTTTCCATACAGCAGTTCACATATACTTTGTCTCATGACATTGACTACAGTTTACCACAAGGCAACAGTTCCCCTCCCACTTTCTCCCAATAGTTACCTCTTCCCTGTGTCCATCCCTCCATGTACTCCTGCCCCCCTGAGCTGTCTCCCTGTGTATTAATAGCCCTTCTTTCTCTCATGATTGTTCTCTCCAAGGAGTATATCTACTTGAGGTAAATGTTCAACTCATATGCCTGTCTTTTGTTTGGCTGGAAGCCACAGGTGTGAGTTCAATTCCAGACCTGAAGGGCAGCTAGGGGCCATAGTCTCAGTGGTTCTACCAGGCTCCATCAGACCAGCAAACCTGGTCCCCTCTTTTTTTTTTTCTCCAAATGATTTTGAGTTTTGTTCCACATTGTTCTCCCTCTCTATCCAGAATCTCCTACATAGATCCCACTCCGAGTGGTTGACAGTGGTAGCCGGGCACTTCTGGTCTCAGTTGTATAGGCTGAGGATCGCATGGTGTACCAGTCGCTAGGACTAATTGTTTCCATGAATTTTTGTTTTTCTTCTTTCTTCTTTGCTGTGGTCGAGGAGACCCATCGTTGCATCGAGATGGCTGCTTGCAAGCTTTTAAGATCCCAGTCGCTACTCACCAAAGTAGGAGGTGGAACAATGTCTTGTGTAGTATGTTATGCCAATTGAGCTTGATGTCCCCTGTGACTATGGTTCCAAGCCCACAGGTTCAACTACTTGCTCGCTCTGGGTAGCTGGCTGTGACCAAGAAGTGACTACTACTTTGTTTCTTGTCAGCTCTACTATACACCTGGGAATTCTTACAGATCATACAAATACACCTATAAGACCATTGTGTGCCAACCCTATACATGGTCTTGGGTACACTCCCCACTACATAGACATACCTAATAATTCAGCCTGTCCACCCATCTATCTACCCATATACCCATGTTTACCTTCACTGATAATGCAGTACTATATGTGCAAAAGGGTTCATCTTTGTTGTCTGTACCTCCCATGTACCTCTCTGTCTTCCTCTTCCTCAGTGCCACCGTTGATCACTCACATTTGGTACATTGCCCTTCTCTTCACCCAAATCAGTCTTATCTCTATCTAACAGTGTTCCCTCCCCTCCTCTCCCATTCCTGGTAACCAACAAAGAAAATTTCCTTCCATAGGTAAACCTTTCCTTGCCTTTTACAATAATGAACTAATACTGTGATTGACTTACTTCATTCAGCATAATGTTCTCCAAGTTCATCCACGTTATATGGTGTTTTACAGATTCTAGGTTATTCTTTAAGGTTGCATAGTATTCCATTGTATGTATGTACCATAGTTTGGTTATCCATTCCTTAGTTGATGGACACCTAGGTTGTTTCCATCTTTTGGCTGTTGGAAATAGTGCTGCAATGAAAATGGGTGTGCATATGTCTGTTATTGTCATGGCTCTCACTTCTTTAGGATATATACCTAGTAATGGAATAGCTGAGTCAACTGGTATTTCCTTTTCCAACTTTTGAAGGAATTGCCATACTGCTTTTCACAGTGGTTGTACCATTTTACAGTCCCACCAGCAGTGTATGAGAGTCCCAATCTCTCAGTATCCTCGCCAGCATTCACTATTTTCTGTCTTGTTGAACTTTGCTACTAGTGCTAGGGTGAGATGGTATCTCATTGTTGTTTTGATTTGCATCTCTCCAATGACTAATGATCCTGAGCATTTCTTCATATGTTTGTTGGCCGTCTGAATATCCTCCTTGGTGAAGTGTCTACTCATGTCTTCTGCCCATTCTTTAATTGGGTTATTTGTCTTTTTGTTATTGAGGTGTTACAGTTTTCTATAAATTGTAGAGATAAGTCCCTTGTCAGATATGTCATTGCCAAATATTTTTTCCCAATCTGTAGGTTCTCTTTTGATTCTTTTGGAGAAGTCTTTGGAAGCACATAAAAATTTAATTTTTAGAAGGTCCTATTCATCTAGTTTCTCTTCTGCTGTTTGTGCATTTTAGTTTCCTTTTCTTTTAAGTGAGTTTACACCTTAAATTTACTTACAGGGTTGGTTAAGAATTCATAATTCATTCATTCATTCAGCAAATACATTTCATATCTCACAGTTATACTTAATGCCAGTGAGTCTTAATGTAGATAAGAGAATCGTTTCCCTTATGAGGCTCATTATATTCCAAGGAAATTAAGATTATATTAAAAACAATAATATACTACAGGAGAAAAAGTGTTAAATGCTGTAAGTAGTTCAAATGAACAAGTAATCACTATTAAATGAGGGATCAGGGAAGATATTATGGAAGAAATGGTTCTTACACTGGACATTGATGGAATGAAAGGCATTCTATAAGAGAAAACAGATTAAGCAAAGAGATTTAGTTCTCCCATGAGAGAGGAAGTGTTGGAGAAGGAGTAGATTTTTTTGTTTGTTTAATTGAGAAAGAAGTTAAGGTTTTTCTTTAGTAAATATAGACAATGTTTTCATGAGGCAGACTGATTTGTTTTTGAATGTGTGTGATTTATGCATTTAGTGTTGTGCATACATTTTGTACTCTCACTTCAGAACCTTTCTTTGTTTGATCTTTGTGTGTGGGTGTCAGGGAGGGAGGTGGGTAAATATAGTTAAAGCCAGCTGTCTATCCTTATTTATCTCCCAGCGGGTGCTAGAAAAATAACAGTGTTGAGAGTCAGAGAAACACAGCAGTGGTAATGCATGTACAAGCATGATTCTTGTCTTCAACCATTCACAGCAAAAAAATAACATGCATAATTGTTTTTATTTCTCAAGGGGACATAACTTGATGCTTAATAATTTGTCTGAAAACCATATATTCCAGATAGTTAATTTCACGAAGATGAAAAGTTGCTTGTGTAATTTTAGGCTTGGGTTATTTTATTTATTTATTTATTTTGGTGGTTGTTATTTCATTTGTTTCTCTTAGAAATTTCTAGTAACCTTTATTTCAAGTAATCTCATACAATAACAATACAGCATATTTCACTGATTGGGTTGACACAGTTCAAAGAGTTTGCTCATTTACAGTGTATATGAGGGTGTGAAATAGTAAGCATTTCTACAATAGTGGAAAGACTATTTTTGCAATCCCTTTGGAGGATAATTTGGCAATCTATATAAAAATTTTTAATACAATCCCTTTGAGGAATTTTATTGCTAGAAATTTATCTACAAATCTACTTAGACTTGAGTGTGAATATATATATGTGTGTATACATGTGTGTATACATAAATATGTGTATGTATGTATGTGTGTGCATATATACATATATGTATGTAAGAGGTATTTGTTGCCATTTTGTTTACAATTGCAAAATCCTACCTATTAAAATGGCAGTGATCAAAAAAATGAAAAACAACAGGTACTGGCAAGGTTGTGGAGCAATTGAGACCCTCGTCCATTGCTGGTGGAAATGTAAAATGAGACAGTCACTGTGGAAAACAGTTTGGGAGTTCCTCAAAAAGTTGAACATACAACTACCAGATGGCCCCAAAATCCCAATCCTAGGTATATACACAGAACAAGTAAAGGCAGGAGTGCAAACAGAAGCTGTATGCCAGTGTTCATTGCACCACTTCACAATAGCCACAAGGATGCTAAATTTACATCAGCAGGTGAGTGAATAAACCAAATGTGGTATATACATAGAATGGAATATTATTCAGCCCTAAAGAGGTACATGCCAAGACTGATGGAATACCTCACCCCCACCCCACCCCATTATGGCCCTTAGACACCCTCAGGCCTGGAATTGAACTTATGCTGTGACTTAGCTTTCAACCAAACAATAAGATATAAAGTTAACGGTAACAGCAGCTGGTGAGTTTGTACTGCCAACCTTATCATTAGCAGCCTTACCCACTATACCACCATTGCTCCTTGTTTGTATGATGTTGTTGTTGTTGTTGTTGTTGTTGTTAGGTGCCGTCATGTCAGCTCCGACTCATAGCGATCCTGTGCACAACAGAACAAAACACTGCCTGGTCCTGTGCCAGCCTCAAAACACTTGCTACACCCATCATTGTAGCCACTGTGTCAGTCCATCTCATTGAGGGCCTTCCCCTTTTTCATTGACCCTCCACTTTACGAAGCATGATATCCTTCTCTGGGCGATGATCCTTTCTGACAACATGACCAAAGTAGGTGAGACAGAGTCTGGCCATTCTCACTTCTAAGGAGTATTCTGGCAGCACTTCTTCCGGGACAGATTTGTTAGTTCTGTATAATAGGCACCTAATAAATATCTGTCAGATGAATGAAAAATGAGTTTAGAAGAAAAAGCCATATAAGGTGCATCTATCGTTCTCTCCCTGTCTGGAGCAAAGAAGAATGAAAAAAATCAAAGATCTAAGGAAACATTTAGTCCAAAGGACTAATGGGCCACAGGAACCCCAGCCTCCATGAAGAACTAGATGGTACCTGGCTACCATTGCCAACCACTCTAAAAGGGATCACAGTAGGAGGTCCTAGATAGAGTGGGAGAAAAATGTGGAACAAAGCTCAAAATCATTTAAAAAAACAAATAAATAAACTTACTGGCCTGATAATGACTGGTGGAATCATAGAAGCTATTGCCTTTAGAAGGAGCTCTGGTAGCATAGTGGCTAAGGCACTTGACTGCTAACCAGAAGGCTGGCGGTTCAAACCCACCAGCCACTCCTCGGAAGGAAGGTTGGGCAATCCTACTTCCGTAGTGATACTGCCTCGGAAACCCAAGGAGGGGTCGCTATGAGTCGGGGCCGACTCGACGGCAAACAACAACAACAACAACATTGCCTTTAGATATCCTTCAAGCCTGGACTTGAACTCACCCTCATGGCTTACCTTTCAGCCAAACGATAGGCCTGTAAGATGAACAGTAATAGCAGAGAAGTATGCCCTCATTAGAGCAATCAACCATATGGGATCAAAAGGGCAGCATTTTCCAGAGATAATGGCCAGAAGACAGGGAGGGATAGGAAACAACAAATGGAAATGGTAAACACAGAGAGGAGTAGAAGAGTGTTGTTGCATTGTGAGAATTACAGTCAGTGTCACGAAACAGAGTGTGTGTGAGCTGTTGGATGAAAAACGAATTTGCCCTGTAAACTATCACCCAAATCACAACTGAAAAAAAATAATTAAAAATGTAAGCAGAATTTGAGTTGGTAGAGAGGAAAAGCAAGGCCATTTTAGCATAGTTAACAGCATAAGCCGATGTGAAAAAGTAAACTTGTTAAAAGGATAATCAGATTCATCTGGTGCTGAATATTAATATTTAAGTGCACTGTGAGAGAATGTTGAGGAGAGTGAGTTGGATATCAGATCGTGAAGAAGTTGAATGCCAGGCTGTGTGTTTGAATGTTATAATGATTAATGAGTTGTAGAATAAATAATGATAGTGAATGTTTATATGGGCAGTAGAATGTAGTGTTTAAGATTATAGACTGGGAAACAAAACTGTTTGGTTTCAATTCCTGATTCTGCTATATGCTAGCTATATAACCTTGAGCAGATTACTTAGGCTGTCTGTGCTTTAGATTGCTCGTCAATCAAGTGGGATAAATTTTTAACTCACAGAGCCATTGTAAGGATTAAATGAATTAATGTATATAAAAATATTAGAACAATGCTTAACCATTAATAAGACTTGAATATGACATATTAATATTATAAATATTAACTATTTTCAATTTTATGACATTTAAATGATGCCAGATTGCTTTCATGTGTACTGTTTCTTTTAATTTTCACAACTCTGAGGTAGGTGATACCTCAGATGCTTAATGATGGAAAACTCTAAGCCATAGAAGTTGTGTCCACAGCTGACAGAACTAATCTTACAATTCTAAGTCATTTTATCATGACTCTGTGATCTAAGAAACTAATGGAATAATAGAATGACTTGGAAAAAGTCAAGTTTTATGGAAATTATTCTAATGGAATTCTGCAGAGTGAAATGAAGAAGGGAAAGAACCTGAAGTCAGGGTCATGGCTCTTCAGATAATCTTAATTTAGATTTTATTTACGAAAAATTACCCTTCCAGAGTTACATCATTGAGAATGAAAAGGTAAAAGAGACATTATGATGAATTTTATAACTAACCATTAAATTAATATTCTTTCAGCTGTATTTAAACTTGAAACAACAGATAGAAGTGTGTGGCCACTGATAAGAATCTATCGGGGTAGCTTTCTTCTGATTGAATTTCTTTTTCTACTGGGCATCAACACGTATGGTTGGCGACAAGCTGGAGTAAATCATGTGCTCATCTTTGAACTTAATCCAAGAAGCAATTTGTCCCATCAGCATCTCTTTGAGGTAATAAAAGCAAGACATAAAATTATATGAACATAGTTTACATTAGGCATAAACCTGGTTTCATGGGTTTTGGAATCCATTTTCTACTTGAAAAGGATTATTGGCTTAATAACTAAATGTTTTTCTTACCTTTGTTTTATTAAAAATATTTCTGAGTAATGCTAAAAGTAAAAATAACAATTTTCTTTTTGTCTCCCCCCCACCCCTTGCCAGATTGCTGGATTCCTTGGAATACTTTGGTGCCTGAGCCTTCTGGCATGCTTCTTTGCTCCAATTAGTGTCATCCCCACATATGTATATCCACTTGTCCTATACGGATTTATGATTTTCTTTCTTATCAACCCCACCAAAACTTTCTATTATAAATCCCGGTTTTGGCTGCTTAAACTGCTGGTAAGTTCAGAAACTTGTATACCATTTTTAGAGTAATATATTGGCTGTTACCTTCCTCTGTGATGAAGCCAAAGCTGCTGGGTTGCACAACATCAAAAGGTACCATTCACATGGTAGTCTCTATATTATGTGAATGGTGCCACAGCTCCAGAGGCAAAGAATACAGTATGACTGGTACTTCTTACTTTGCGGTGACCTGAGGCCCTGAAAAAGCATCCATGCATTTAAAAGGAAGAAGCCTCTTAAAATGGAGTATAAAATGATCAGATGTTGAAATAATTTTGCAAATTATAATCATTTATTCCTTATTACTTCATTGTACAGATTTAACCACCTACAAGCATATGTAGAACTTTTTCAGTTTTCTTTTCTTAAAAACACAGTAAAACTATGTTAATTTCCTGTTAAATTTCTGTGAGTAGTTGTCTTAGTTATCTAGAATTATTATAACAGAAATACTAGAAGTGGATGACTTTAACAAACAGAAATTTATTCTCTCACATTTTAGGAGACTAGAAGTCCAAATTCGGTCTCCAACTCTAGGGGAAGGTTTTCTCTCTTTACTGGCTCTGGGGGAAAGTCCTTGTCTTCTTTTAGCATCTGTGAAAGTGTCCTGGGAAATCTCCATGTGTCTTGCTGTCAAGCTTCCCCTGGGTCTAGGAGGTTCTCAGCACAGAGACCCTGAGGCCAAAGGATGCCCCCTAGTTCTTTATTCATGGTGGTACTGAGGTTCCTCCTTCTCTCCTCATTTCTCTCTCATTTTATCTCTTGTAAGATTAAAGGTTATCAAGGCTACATGCCAGGGAAACTCCCCTTCCCATCAGATGAGGGCTGTGCATCCTTCCATAATCCCCTTACAGCTGATTGGCTAATCACATATAGAGATATTTTCATTATATAACCACCCAGCCAGGTTGATGCGTACTTTATTGGAAGACAGTACAATCCATGATAGTAGTCAACCAAACTTTAAAAAAAAATATTGTGATTCAGGTAAAAGTTTACATAGCATAGCAAATTGGTTTTTTGTTGCTTACCATTTCCATTCATACTTCTTTCCTGTCCCTTCCTGGCTTCTGAACTTTCACACCTCTCTGATAACTGATCATGGATATGGAGTTGTGTGCAGTTGTGGACAAGCAGAGCTGGTTATCTGGTTCCTTCTCCAATCAGAACATTGCTTGCAGTGATTCAAAATGGCTGCATTATGCCAACTGGTTATTCACCATTCCGTATGCTTCCTTTTTCACTGTTTTCATTCAGTCTCTTCCTCTCATTGGTATTTGATCTACTTCTTTATCGTTTTCTTTTAATCCCTGGATTCCAAGATTGTCATCCATATCCATTTCACTTAGTTTCTTGTCTCTTTGTTACAGAAGATCTGGTTACTGTATCTGCCTACTCCACCATCTTTGATGTTCCTTCTCAACCAAACATTTTTGTTATATGAAATATTAGTTATTTAAAAGCAGTAAGACTATTTTGTCAGATCACTAACATTACTTTGGGAAACTGATTTTGATTCTCTTATAATTAGAAATTCCTTTTCTTCTTCTCCTACTTTTAATGAGCATGAGGATATAGAATTTCCTGCAAAAATGGTAGCTATATTTTTTGTCATAGTAAAAAATAGTACTGGGAGGGGACTTCTGCTTACTCTTAAATAAGTTTTAAATTGTTTCCTAGTGATCAATTACAGTGTACAGTAGAGTGAAGATTAGTGATGATATTGACCAATTTATACACCAGATCCACCACTTGTTTGTCAGTTTGTCATACTGTCGGGGCTTGCATGTTGCTGAAAGCTATTCCACTGATATTTCAAACACCAGCAGAGTAACCCATGGTGGACAGGTAACAGCAGAGCTTACCGATTATGACATTAGGAAGAAGCACAGAACTATTCACTTCTGGAAAATTGGGCCCTGAAAACCTTATGAATAGCAATGTCTGATATAGTGCCTGAAGATGAGCCTGTCAGGTTGGAAGGCATTCGAAATACGACTGAGGAAGAGCTGCTCTTCAAAGTACAGTTGACTTTAATGGCGTGGATGAAATAAAGCTTTCAGAACCTTCATTTTCTAATGAGACATGACTCAAAATGGGAAGAAACAGCTGGAGACATTCATTAATAATTAGAATGTGGAGTGTATGAAGTGTGAATCTAGGAACAATGGAAGTTGTCAAAAATGAAAGGGAACACATAAAGATCAATATCCTAGGCATTAGTGAGCTGAAATGGACTGATATTTGCCTTTTTGAATCAGACAATCATGGTGTCCTATGCTGAGAATGAAAAATTGAAGAGGAATTGTGTCACATTCATCATCAAATAGAAAACATAATCAAGATCTGTCCTAAAGTACAATGCTGTTAGTGTTAGGATAATACCATACACATACAAGGAAGACCAGTTAATCAGACTGTTACTCAAATTTATGCACCAACCACTAAAGCCAAAGATGAAGAAATTGAAGATTTTTACCAACTTCAGCAGTCTGAAATTGATCAAACATGCAATCAAGATGGATTGATAATTACTGGTGATTGTAATATGAAAGTTGGAAATAATGAGTAGTTGGAAGATATGACCTTGATGATAAAAATGACATCAGAGATCATGTGATAGAATTTTGCAAGACCAATGACAATATCATTAATATTATCCTCAAGTAAAATTTTGCTGAAAATGGTTGCAGCAGTACATAGACAGGAAATTGCCAGAAATTCAAGCTGGATTCAGAAGATGACATGTAACAAGGAATATCATTTCTGTTGTCAGAGGGCTGAAAGCAGGGAGTACCAGAAAGATGTTTACCTGTGTTTATTGACAATGCAGAGGCATTCAACTGTGTGGATCATAAAAAATTACGGATAACATTGCAAAGAATGGGAATTCCAGAACACTTAATTGTGCTCATGAGAAACCTACATAGACCAAGAAGCAGTATTTCAAACATAACAAGGGAATACTGTGAGGTTTTAAATAAGGAAAGGTGTGTGTCAGGATTGTATCTTTTGACCATTTATATTCAGCTGTGGGCTGGGCATATAATCTAATAAGTTGGACTATGTGAAGAAGAACATGACATCAATATTGGATAAAGACAACTTTCTTGCTAAAAGTGAAGATGGCTTGAAGCACATACTGATAAAGTTCAAAGACTATAGTCTTCAGTATGGATTACACCTTGTTTTGGTTATCTATTGCTGCTCTAACAGAAGATACCTCAAATGGGATGGCTTTAACAAACAGAAGTTTATTCTCTTACAGTTTAGGAGGCTAGAAGTCCGAATTCAAAGTGCCAGGCTTTAGGGACTGGGTGAAAGCCCCTTGACCTTGAGCTTCAGCTCTTCCTCTTGCTCCTGGCCCACTGAAGCTAGAGGCTTTTCACTCAGGCAACTGCTGGCTCCTGAAGCTGACAAGCCCAAGGGCGACAAATGAAAAGGCACAGTCCCAATGTTGTTGTTGTTGTTGTTGTTATGTGCCGTCGAGTCAAACCCGACTCATAGCGACCCCTCCTTGGGTTTCCGAGGCAGTATCACTACGGAAGTAGGATTGTCCAACCTTCCTTCCGAGGAGTGGCTGGTGGGTTTGAACCGCCAGCCGTCTGGTTAGCAGGCAAGTGTCTTAGCCACTATGCTACCAATATCACCAAACAATACAGCAGGCCAACAATTCAAGTCCAGAAAAAGCCCCAAGATCAGCAGGGCATGGCAGGCTGCTGAACAGTGACTTGGCTACATGCAGGATTCAAGCATGCCACAAAGGTAGAGACCGTGCCCAAAGCTGCTGCTTATAAACGGGAAGCAGACCACATCCCTAAAGCAGCCACTCAGCTGCTCCAGTAGATTTCCACCATGAAGTTAATTACCAGTCTTACCATGGGGAATAACTACATCCAGCTGCCCAGCCACTCAACCAAGCCCAGCCAAGTTGACACACAAACTTAACTACCACACACCACAACATAAAGAAAACTAAAATCCTCACAACTGGAGCAATAAACAGTATCATGATAAACAGAGAAAAAGTTGAAGTTGTCAAGGATTTCATTTTGCTTGGATCCACAATCAATACCCATGGAAGCAACAATCAAGAAATCATGTGATGCATTGCATTGGGCAGATCTGCTGCAAAAGAATATTAAAATGTTTAAAATGTTACTTTAAAATGTTAAAGTAAACACTTTAAATGTTATAGAGTAGGAGTTCCAGTTAAGATGGTGGAATAGGCAGAGAGACTGCACAGACCCTCTTCAACAAAGAAAAAGGGAACCAATTAACACAGATACAGAGGATAATCCTGGACCCCTGAGCTTTGAAGGGAAGGATATGGAAGGGGACTAAACTCAAACTAGTAGAAAAATTTGCATGAAAATACCAAAAAAGGAGACATACAGAGCTGCGGTCTGGCAGTGATCCTGACAGCACAGACAGCTTGGATATCGCTGAGTGGTGGTAGGACCTAAGAATTAACCTAAAATTCAGCCCTGTTAGCCAGGGACTGCACAGAGGACTGCTCTGGTGCCTGGGGAATAAAAAGGGAAGCAGCAAAGAAAAAGACGGGCTGAGCTATGGACTTTTGTCTGTCTGGAGGGTGCAGCCGTTTTGAAAGGGGCTTGATCGTTTTGGATATTTAAAGCGACAGTGTTCTTCCCAGTTCTAGGAATTTAAGAACAGGCTCCACTTACTGGGAACCACAAAGACATCCCAAACGCACGGACTACTAGAAAGGTGCGATATTCCCCTTGTTACTCTTATACCCCACACCCTCTTGGTGAACGGAGGTGCAGAATCCCTCACTCCCACCCACCTTCTAGGTTGGCAGGAATTCCACCCAGTCTGTGTGCTCCCATGGAGCATGGGCGCCCTGCCTTGGCCTGTCAGATTTTTTTTTTAATTTCTTTTTTCTTTTTTTTTAGTTTGTTTATTTTTGTCTGTTTTAAAACTACTATTATTATTTTACTTTTGTCCTTTTTATTGTCATTCTTTATTCT